ACAATTTTCCTCTAAAAGGGAGCGCCCTGGTCTTCCATTTGCTTAAGCCCCTGGAAAAGATATACTTTATGTTTTCCGGTAGTGATAGCTTCCCTTTAAACCCAACAAGGGAAAGTATAGGTATCCAAAAAAATATTATTCATGAGGAGTCATTATTCGGGTGTGTCTCTTTGAGGGCCCCCCACAAAAAGAAATCAAGGTGGTGGGTTCCATGGCAATGTGCAGCGCCTAAGACATCGACTTCGATCCGAGGCCGACGCTTGGGCTCGTTCAGCGCCCAGTTCAACGCGAAGTGGTTCAGACCTCGGTCCATGAGCCCGCTGAACGTCTCCTCCTTTTGGGGGGTGGCGCCCGTTTTGAGTCAGTAATGTTGGATCCTTTTTACACGGACACACCCCCCCTTAACAGTGGAACCAGTCAGCTGGACCCTCTTTAGTGAACATCCTGGAGGTCTGGGAGGGACAGTACTTACTTTCGATTGACTCCCTTCTCTTCTTGCAAAGATCTCTCCAAAAGCTTTAGTGCCATGATTTGCTCCTGAGGCATGGGCTTGTCAAGGGCCACTGTTGTATGTGTGCGGGTGTGTGCTTGTGTTTGTGCGTCTGCTTGTGAAAGCATGGGGAATTGTGTATGTGTGTGTGTGTGTTTGTTGTGTGTGTGTGTGTGTGTGTGTGTGTGTGTGTGTGTGTGTGTGTGTGTGTGTGTGTGTGTGTGTGTGTGTGTGTGTGTGTGTGTGTGTGTGTGTGTGTGTGTGTGTGTGTGTGTGTGTGTGTGTGTGTGTGTGTGTGTGTGTGTGTGTGTGTGTGTGTGTGTGTGTGTGTGTGTGTGTGTGTGTGTGTGTGTGTGTGTGTGTGTGTGTGTGTGTGTGTGTGTGTGTGTGTGTGTGTGTGTGTGTGTGTGTGTGGTGTGTGGTGTGTGCGTGCGCGTGCGCGTGCGCGTGCGCGTGCGCGTGCGCGTGCGCGTGTGCGTGTGCGTGTGCGTGTGCGTGTGCGTGTGCCCGTGCGTGCGTGCGTGCGTGCGTGCGTGCGTGCGTGCACGCGCACGCGCGCGTGCGCGTGCGCGTGTTCATGTTCGTGTTCGTGTTCGTGTTGGTGTTGGTGTTGGTGTTGGTGTTGGTGTTGGTGTTGGTGTTGGTGTTTGTGTGTGTGTTTGTGTGTCTGTGTTTGTGTGTGTTTGTGTGTTTGTTTGTGCGTTTGCGTGTTTGCGTATTTGCGTGTTTGCGTGTTTGTGTGTTTGTATGCTTGTGTGTTTGTTGTTTGTGTGTGTGTGTTTGTTTGTTTGTTTGTTTGTTTGTTTGTTTGTTTGTTTGTTTGTTTGTTTGTTTGTTTGTTTGTTTGTTTTTGTGTTTGCCTGTTACATGTTTGCTTGCTTGCTTGCTTGCTTGCTTGCTTGCTTGCTTGCTTGCTTGCTTGCTTGCTTGCTTGCTTGCTTGCTTGCTTGCTTGCTTGCTTGCTTGCTTGCTTGCTTGCTTGCTTGCTTGCTTGTGTTTGTTTGCTTGTTTGTTTGTTTGATTGATTGATTGATTGATTGATTGATTGATTGATTGATTGATTGATTGATTGATTGATTGATTGATTGGTTGGTTGATTGATTGATTGTTTGTTTGTTTGTTGTTGTTGTTTTTTGTTTACTTGTTTGTTTGTGTGTGAGTGTTGGTGTGTGAGAGTGTGTTGGTGTGTTTGTCTTTGTGCGCATGTGCCCTATTTCAAGGGTCACTAGATTTCACGTAGACAGTCGATCCATTTACTGGTGACTTCCACTTTTTGACGATTGCCAAGGGAAACTATCATGTCCTTGCAGAACTCCTGGCGGCTGCTTAGCTCCCTTCTTGAAAGCAAATGTGGATACTCCCAGCTCCTTGGCTCCAACCACCAGCTAGGAAATGGCTCGGACACCCGGTATTTGAGGACTCACTCCCGACTCCGAAGCTGGGTCACCCCGGCACTCGATGGCGTTCTGACGCACGTGCAGGGGCGCTTGCGGGGAGCAATACCTAGAGAGACAGTCAAGCCTTGCAGGAGGCGTTGTCCCCTCGTCTTTTGTAGAAAGACATGGTTTCCTTCTGGCTTCCCTTTAAAATCACCCTAAAAAGGGCATCCTATCAAGACCCCACAAGGAGCCATCCCTCTCAGGAAATTGTCGAAGTGAACCAACACCAGGTTATTTGATTGACGTTTGGCTAACTTCCTGTAGATCTTTCCTGAAGGGGGCTTCTTGGACTAAATGTTGAGTCTGGATCCAAGTAGAATGTTGTCACGGGGGCTCTGAAAGCGTCTCACGTCCGCGTGCCGACTCACCAGCACAAGCCAACCATGACCGAGCAAAGCCGCGCGTTTGTTCAAAAGATCTCGCGATGGAGGGACTAAACGTTGAAGAGGCCTCTCTTCTTGACTGACCGAGAATGATTCCTGAAGCTGCTTGCGAGGCTGGGTCTTTGACCGCCAAACAGCAAGATTTTGCCCAACAGCGAAGCTTGGTGCTAGATGGTGAGGAGCTGTCATTTTCCAAAAGTGCACAGATAATTCCACGCAAACCAAAGACCAACTAAGAAGGCTGACACATTTATCCATCGTATGCCCAGGTGACTCAGTGGGAAACAGCCGCATGTCATTCACTGCAGAAATCAAGATGTCAAAACCAAAGCAATGTCGACCCCACGTTTACACCAACCTCATAGATTAACAGAAAATACAACTCCTCCCCCCAAAATGATCTGCGCACCTTCAAAACCCGGACATCTCCGGATCAAAGTTCCTTCATTTGCGCCAAGCTTCGCTGATCCAAACTCGCCTCGGATCAGTGCCTCTACGGCAACTGGTCGAGGGTCCCATTCTTTCCCTCAGCCCATTGAACACCGCCCCAAGAGGCGAAGCTCAGCTAGACGTGGCCCAAAGATGATGCTTCAAGAGGGAAACTTCGGCCTGGAGGTGCCGCCTCTTGCGGCAAGTGAAACTTGGCCCTCGACCGGCGCTTGATCTCGTTGGGCGTGTTTTGTCGTTGCAAAAGAACGAGGAGCCGCTGGCTGTAACCCAAAAGTTTGCGAATATCTGGCGACAGGTTCGCATCCATCCGGATCCTACCCCTTCTCCAACAAAGCTGGACCTTTGCCCTAGGAGTCAAGTCCAAACCACTCCTATCCATTGCTCAGAGTGAAACTCTTTGGTTTTGCGTGGGACAGTCAAACATGTGAAATTGATATAATGCTCCCACAACCTGAAATTTAAGAATTGAATTCCCAGGAAAAGAACCTTCCTAAGCAGCCACGGGGCTTGCACATGCGAGTCTGAAGTCTGGCAAGAGCTGTTTTTCAAGCCATGTCCCTAACAGCTGGTTGTGATTGATCGGGGGTGGCCATAAGGATCAGTCCTACGTTCGCTGAGTTGCACAAAACATTCCGATCGGTTCTGCTTAAATCTGGGGTCAACGCTGGCCAGCAACCCGCGTACAAAAATGGTCAGTTGAGTCCAAAATGTTTGTTGGTGGGTTCATGGGTTTGTGAACAAATAACGGCCCATCGCGAAGGCAATTTGGGTGATTTGTCCAAGGCCTGCAACCCAACTAAGCAACAGACAATTCCCCATGTGGGGCCCCTTCTTAAGTGACTGATTCGCGCTGTTTTCTTTCATCACGGAACTCCGGTTTGCGTGAAGCGGGAAGCAGGTTTCTTTCAATCAATTCTTTCAGACCCCAAAATGCTCAGCTCAATTTGGTGGCTAACGGGAGATCCCTTTCAAGGATATCGAAAAGAAGAGCAAACCACCTGGCGAGAAACACGTAGGATCATCCATATCATGACGATAAAAAGGTGATGGTTTAAGCACCAATGGACAGACAACTTGGTGGCCGTTGCACCTTGCCCGTAAAACTTCAACTTTTGCTACACGGAACTTCCCAAAAGTGAAAGGCTAAAGGTTCGAGCAAAGCAGCCGCTAGAAATAGTGACCACTGAACATTGCGCCCTTTGCAACGAACGCAAAGATTGGGCGCATTCCAAGGTCGAGCACTGCGCGGGTCAATCGTCTAACCAATCTTTAGTTCATCTGAGCTACGGATATTGAGTGGTCCATTCTAGCGAGACATTATAAAGAATACCATGGTTTTATTGGGGGCTTAAAGGGGAAGCCACCCAGTCCCGAAAGCAAGCTCCAAAACATCTCACAAAAAAATGTTTAAGGGGGGTTTAACCATCAGTTTCAACCATCCGCCCCTCAAAATGTTCACTTAATGTTCCAATCATTACATTCTAGACCCTGCCTGGAATCTGAGTGTCACCTCCGTGTGGCAAATGTGACGATCGGATTCGGTCCGGTGGCTTCGTGGGCAATCGCTGGTCTATGGCTACATACACCAATGAGACTTCCAAAAAGAGTGGGGGGATCAAGCTGTGAGACTGTCGCTTTCACAAACTGGCCTCCTTCTGGCTTCCCCTCTTCGATCCCCCCCAAAGGTTCTGTGGATGTTCAAAGGATCTAACCTGAGCAGACTGAACTGTTGTTTTGCCCTGGCCCCAACTCAACAGCGACAAGACGATGTTCTTCGCCACCAAGTCGTTTGGCCCCAATAACAACACACAGTTCATGTCGGTGTATATTTAGTGAATCTATAAATGGATCATTATGTTTGAACTTGTACAATATAGGGTACCCTGTAACTTTGAAACGAATGTGCTGTCCTACCAGGTTTAAGGGAACTCCTGGTAGCTCCTTAGCTCCCATATGTGGATGCTCCCAGCTCCTCTTCTTACCACCAGCAACATTTATGTATGTATATATATATATGTATTCTTCACAGTCGATCACTGTACTACTCCAAAAAGGAGAGGTCCTCCAGTAGAGAGGTTAGAACAAGGGTACCCCTTTGTCGGTAGTAGGAGAACCCTCCCAACCAAAAAAGTTGGGTTAAGAAGGGCACCTAGCTGGGGGACCGAGAAAAGAGTCTCCTAGTCCAAAGCTTTGGATTTCGACTGGCAGCGAGCTCGCCTTTGCTTCGCCGTGACGCCTTCACTTGGCGACCGGCCGCACCGCTGGCCTCGCAAACCCAGGCGTCCCAGGTGCTCATGAGTTCTTCTGGCGCAAAAAATGGGCTCGTGTTCCCCCAAAATGTGGGCCCTTGTTTCCCCTTATTGCTTTTTTGGCAGGCCAAAATTGAATCAGTTTGTTTCCCCTGGCGTGTTTTTTGGACTTGTGTACTTGTTTGCCCCGAATTCATACAGTTAATCAGAAAATGGACCAGAGGCTACTGGTCTGGTGAGGAAACACGTGGACCGAACACGTAAAACGTCCTGAAACAAACCATAGCTTCAAACTGCGCTTTGCCCTTTTTGGATTGAACGGGGCACAGAAAAGGGGAGTGGGGACCCTAAGTGGACAAAATCCCCTGTGAGATTCGAAGTATGCACCCCTTTGGGTGCGAGTGGGCCCGCAGCAAACGAACTAACCGGTGAGGGACAATGAAGGACACCTTAAACAGGGTACACTATATTGCCCTTTCAACATCAAAACGAAGCTATCTTTAAATTGGCCCAAAAGGTGATGTTTCGAAAAACCCCCAAAAGGGAAAACATGAAGAACCATGCATGAAGGCAAACAAGTTTGTTGGAGAGACTCGCATCCAAAGCAAAAAGTTGAACAAATCAAACATTAGAATCAGCAAGCTGATGTCAAATAGGGCAGCCCCACACAAAGAGCACAAACCAGAAACTAGAAACCCCAAAGTGGAGCAAAAAAACAAGATCGACACAATTTCTGAAGAGCCCATAACTCTACACCCAAACGCAACAGTCAGTGCAATCTTGGAAACAAGGAGGAATCTGCATCGGACGCCGCGCATTCAGGAAGTCAAACAAGTCAGTGCACCAATTTGGAAATCCCAATGGGGACGCACTTCGTTTTCGTGCGCAGAAAGCAGCCTGCAAGGTGTAAACCCCATGGGACGCAGCATATGAACCAACAGAAAACACACACAGTCGCAAACCCCAATGGGACGCAGCACGCAAAGCATACCAAGTTGCGAGTGGAAACAAGCGTCTGGTACTGGCAATGCCCATGCGGACGCAACATGTAAAGTAAACAAACGCAGGAGGCGTGTGTGTTAAGTATGAATGTTTTGAAACATGAAGGCACTTTGCAAAATGAAATCATATGAAAGGGTCTCTCAGATTTGGAGCGCTTGGATTTAAGGTTGGGGAGAAACAAAGGTGGCGCAAACTCGTGATTTGCAAGGCAAGTCAAACGAGGTAGTGAACGAGGTGGTGAACGAGGTGGGGAACGAGGTCCAAACTTGTCTTGAAAAGGGCGTGGTTGCTTTGACAAACGCCAATGCTTCAAGAAAAAGAAGCAAGAGCAGCTGCGCTGCGCAAGCAGAGCTGTGCAGGCAGAGCTGCGCAAGATGAGCTGCACAGGCAGGGCCAACATCGACAAACCCCAATGGGAGACGCACATGAAGCATTCAACGTTTCTCTGGTTTCGCTTGAGGTTTCAATCCAAGATCCAAACAACGACATGTGAAACACAACCTGGACGCAACATCGCTCCGACTTCCCGGAAATTGAAACCCAATAGAATACACACGTTGAACACAAACGCATTGACTTTTGCAGCAGGGTGTACCAAAAAGTTGCCTATACTCCATTGCTGCCAAAATGGGGAACTGTGGGGAAATGAAAATCAACATGTAGTGTTTGTCCTCTTGGGAGACTTTGTTGCGTTGGGAAATGGATATTCCCCAGAGAACGACGAGATGCATAAACAAAAACAATAACTGGATTGTATGGTGTCCTTTCCGAAATGGGGGGAAACAAACGATTTCTCTCAATTGAGGTGCCTTTTGATGCCTTTTCCTAAGAGGGATTCTACACCTCCAGGGGTCCCTTATTCTGAAACTGGTCAAACGGCAATTCGACCGTTTTCATGAACAGAAAGTTGTTGGTCAGCCGTTGCAGGACCAGGCAGCCTGCAAGGCGGCAGCTTCTGTCCAACCAGCGGCTCAAATTCATGGCAAAGCCTCAAAACGCCAATCCAATCCATGTCAAGCGACCTTCAAAGACCAAGGGCACCAACTCCCAAAACAGTTGCCCTCGGTTGGGCAAACCATGGAACCCAAAACCCGAAAGTGGAATCCCAAACATGGAAACCCTCAAGAGGGTATCGTCAAGAGGAAAATGGTCCAAACCAAAAACCCACAGTCAGGCTTCCTGGTGCAACCTGGGTAGACCAACTCTCGCAAAACGCAAGAACCACCCCAAAACGTTCCAGCGCCTTCACCCTGATTCCCTTGACCAACATTCAACCCAAGGACCTAGGAACTAAATCTGTGCATGCTTGCCAAAATCTGCTCGGCTTGGTCGTGAAAGATCTCGATGGCAGATCCGCCCAGTCGGCCCCGCCTCTTAGGGCGCCCAGACTTCGGTCGTCCAGCTGGGGACGGGATGAAGGCCTAGCAACAAACACAGGGCACCCGGCGTTTTGACAGGTTTTACAGGAAAGCCCTTCCCCAAGGAAAAAGGAGAGGCAACTGAGACATCTTCCCAAGAAATTAAATTGCACCACGTACATGTCTACATATGCACATAAATGTCGATATACACACTGATTGAATGTGTACGTATTCGGTTGATTCATATGTACATATATATGTATATTACGTAGATTTGCAGAACATTGACACGTATTTATGTTTGTACAGCTATGGGCAGAGTGAATGTCTGAAGGGCTCCCAAGCTTCGCTTCCCGCGGAAATTCTAAAGAGGGTCCGCACCCCAAAAGGAACATCGATCTAGTGACTTTGAGTTCCCTGTTCTTGGCCAGAGGGGCTTGCTGAATTCACGTACAGAAGGCTTCAAGGGTGAGCCTGCAACCCCCCCCCCCCCCACAGACTTGCCCTAGGACCATTCAGCCCATAGTGCTACGTTGCCTAGACAAATGACACCAGAGTGAAGGCAAAGAGCACTATTTCGTGCATGCCGATATGACATAAATGGGGTGGAATTGTGCCATCCACGTATACCTAATCTTGCTGCTGCTCAGCAGGGAATGAGGGAATGACCCTTATAAACCATCCTTGAGGTTTCCTTTCAGGAAAACCCCAGGTTCATTCTTTACTGAGCACCAGCAAGTAAATGTAAACCCTCCTATGCTCGTTGAGGGTCTCCCTTGCAAAGGGAAAAAGTACTGGGGCCAAGAAGGCAGTTGAGGGGTAGAGTTCCACTGGGGCGCCCCATGACAAGCGCTCCCAAAACATCCCTCCCATACTGTCTCGGTAAAGCTTGTCGCTTCATTTCAGGAGGTTCTGTCTTGACTAAGACCCAACCTCTGCTCCGAACATCGGATTTAGCATTCTCTTGGCAACTCTTAGACAACTTACAAATTGTGCAAGTGTTGGTTCAGAGGGAAAACAAAGGACCTCCCAAAAAAGGCAAAAAGGCAAAACACAAAAACCACAACACACGCTGAGTAAAGTCTGGACATGTATTGTTGCTTGATCGTTAAGGAGGCCAACCCCAACAAAAAGCAAACATGGCAGTGTTGACCTCGCATTCATCAACTTGGCGCAAAAATGGGCGACTGCTACCCACTGTCAAGTTGGACCCGTTGCACGCAGAGTTGCTCCCCGATCAAAGGCCACCTCGAGTGTTTCTGAATTCGGGGCAACGAACTGCCTGTCACGCAGGCAAAAAATAATGTCCCCTCCACCTAAGCACCTGAGGCAGTTGGTCAGGATTGCTTTAAGACACTCCAACACGGACCCTGAATTCTAATAGACCCGTTGGTGGACGTCAGTTCCATGAGACTTCAAAATCCAACTTTCGAGGTTGCGACGACTGAAACTCACAGCCACATGGTGCTGGGTCACGGTGGTTTTGATCCTCGGGCGTTCCATAATGACCGTCCCGCACCCCAAACATTTGTTCCGACCATAGCACATCTATCCAACCTTCGGCATGTTGTCAAGACAAATCTTTCTTTTTTTGCAGCCCCCCGCCCCCCTCAAAAAAAATTAGCAGAACCAAACACCAAGAACGGTGACGACACGTTTTGGACCATCTCCAAAGGCCTCGGGGGATCCATCCTCCGCCCCCGATTGCGGCGTGAGCAGCTCCTGCATTACATTAAAAAACAATCTCGGGCACGGCAAACAACCCAAGGTAGGGATGTTGTGCAAATACATGGCTGTGGGTCAAGCCAATGGTACCATGTGGGTGTGTGCGTGTGCGTGTGCGTGTGTGCGTGTGCGTGCGTGCGTGTGTGCATGTGTGCGTGTGTGTGTGTGCGTGTGTGCGTGTGTGCGTGCGCGCGTGTGCGTGTGTGCTGCGCGTGCGCGCGTGCGTGTGTGCGCGTGTGCGTGTGTGCGTGTGTGCGTGTGTGCGTGTGTGCGTGGGTGCGTGCGTGCGTGCGTGCGTGCGTGCGTGCGTGCGTGCGTGCGTGTGCGTGCGTGCGTGCGTGCGCGTGCGGGTGCGTGCGTGTGCGTGCGTGCGCGTGCGCGCGCGTGCGTGCGTGCGTGCGTGCGTGCGCGTGTGCGTGCGTGCGCGCGCGTGCGCGTGCGCGTGCGTGCGTGCGAAGCGTGCGTCGTGGAGTGGCCCCGTTGGGTGCGTGTGCGTGGGGTGCGTGCGTGCGTGCGTGCGTGCGTGCGTGCGTGTGCGTGCGTGTGCGTGCGTGCGCGTGTGTGCGCGTGCGTGCGCGGGCGTGCGCGTGCGTGCGCGCGCTTGCGCGCGCGCGCGCGCGTGCGTGGAAGCGTGGGTGCGTGGGTGCGTGGGTGCGTGGGTGCGTGGGTGCGTGGGTGCGTGGGTGCGTGGGTGCGTGCGTGCGCGCGTGCGTGCGTGCGTGCGTGCGTGGGCGGGCGGGTGGGTGGGTGGGTGGGTGTGCGCGTGCGCGGGTCTCAAAATGGTTGGCATTGGTGAAGGAAAGAGCCGTAAAGATCAACTTCGCCTTCCCCCCGGTTCTTCAGTGGCCCTGGGAAAGGACAAGACCCCTTTTTGAGGTGAGGCGCCCTTCCAGAGGTACCCAAGTCTTCCAATTTGCAAGGGACCTCTTTTGGGAACCAACGCCATTTTGTTCCAGCTTCCGACCATTTCATGGCGCATGTCCATCTCTTAGGCCACCCATTGTAGGTGCGCATGAAGCCAGCTAATGTTAACCCCGGATTAATAAACCCCTGGTTGACTAATAGGGGGTGTCCCCTTCTAGTGGGGATTCATCACTTTTGGAGGGAACATGGGGCAGCATTAATTCCAAACATCCAAACTCTCATGGCGCTCACGCGATTTTGATGTTTCTTTTCTTGTCAGGAAGCTCCAAGCCGCCATTACCAAATGGAATCGATCCACCCCCTGTGCCGGAAAAGCCTCCAACTGGTTTCCCCAACCCCTGACTTGCGTTCGGAGGAAACCAGGAGGGGCACTTCCGGCCAAAGACTAGGACCCACTTGCCTGTAAACACAGCACCAACCTCTCGCACCCAACAAGCTTCGGAAGTCTTAGAAGCATCGCGATGTTTGCTCACGCCTTGCACCAAGCCAACAGCCACCCCCCCCTTCTCCTGGCAGAAAAGGCCTTAAAAAAAAACTGGAACCGACGATCGACCTCCGTTTCTCGACGCGCTCCTTTTCTCGGGGCTTCCCCTCGTCGAGTGTCCTAGACCCAGAGGAGCTCGTCCTACGGACCTGGCGAACGAATCTAACTGCGATCTGCTGTCGAGATGGGTGGCTACCGGTTGCCAACCTCCCCCCCAAAAAATAGAAGGGGGACATGTGATGTCCATGTGGAAATTGAACAGCATTCCCTACATTGCCCGAACATTCACCTTAAACCTTCACCTTTTGCCTTTTGGTCCCTGGAGTGAGTTTCCTGGGGTGATGTTTGAAGGGGAAATACAGGGAGCCCTGTTTAATGGGTGGGTGACCCTTTGACAGTTCCACCAACCAGCTTTGCGAAAAGCCCCCATCAAAATTCAAAGCCATATCTCCCCCCTGTCACTTTTTTCTGAAATACATTCGGGGCAAGCCAGGATTTCGTCACTGCCACTGGCACTATAGTCATTTGACCATGGGTCAAAATCCTGTACCCCCAATGAACATCCCAATCCCCACTATAGACTAAAATGAGTGGTGCACCTACCCCAGAATGGTACCATTGGTTTTTACCCATGGCCATTGACTCCTTGAACCTTCGGCCACGGAAGGAAACCCGATGGCCGAGCCATGGCCCTGACCAGTTTTCGCTGCTTTGGACTTGGCCAGGCTCAAAATTTTGCTGCAAAGGGTGACCACTCTTTGCGGCAAGAAGGGGAATGAAGGAAACGCAAAAGGAAAGACGGGGCAAGAAGTGGCTCTTGGACATGCACCTTGAGTTTGTTTATGTCAAACCATCCAGATGGATTTGAGGATAAAACAATGTTTGGGGTCCTTTATCTCCACCAAGGATCTTTGTGGGGTTCCGTCAGGTTCGTCTTGGGGTGAAATCCTGAAAAGGGAAGTGGGAAGTGCACCTGGACAAGTTGCTTTTTGTTGTTTTTCCGGGGGGAAGAAAAGCCCAACCCGTCATATTTTAGTGAATCGTGCAATGTAAGATCATGTCAAAAGAGGCCGCAAGGTTGCCCTTGATGCCTTCATCTCTAAGGACAAGACAACGTCCTTTGCGTTTGCCCATGAAAAAGAGCTCGAGGGAAAGTTCAGAGTTCACTTGGTCTCCATTTTCTCAGGTTCTTCTGCAGAAGTCTTGGGAGTGCAAACCTCTCTTTGCCCCACCTTTTGAAGGAAATACTTGGATGACCAGCAGTGGTTGATATCCCTGAATGCGTCCCCGTTCCGTGGGTTATGAGGGTCAACCCCACTTAGGGGAGGAACCTGTTGACTGGGGATATGAACCACTCAGTGAGTGGGGTGGTCATCCAAGTACCCATGCCCGCGATTGGGCGGATCGCATTGACTAGGGGTATTTTCAGCGGTGCCCTTGAAGACACACGCCTGGCGGGTGTCTACTGTTTGAGTGTACCCTTACTTAGCGGGTGTCTTTAAGAGAGGTCAAAGGGAACCACCTCATTTGGAGGTGCCGACATGAACATGAACAGTTCTTTGGTGCACAGGGTTCGTTTTGTGTCCGGAAACGTCATCCAAAGAGAAGCTCGCTGGCCACGTGAGATTCCGGGCGATCCAAGCTACCAGTGCTGACTTCGAATCGTAACATCTCGGCCTGCCAAGGGGTTTGGTGCCACTTAAAACCCTCGGGGAAGCTCCGGATTAACCAGCCTCGCTGCAACTCCCCCAGTGAATTTGACATGGACCCACCATTTGTGAACCTGGAACCCCGATTACAGTTATTCCAAATGACATCCACAAACAAACTATGTTTCCCGCCTTCCTTTGTTTCAGAGGGCAAACTGCGATACAGACATGCCCATACTCAACGCTCTGTCAGGGGTTAAGAATCAGGGACCCAAACCAATGGCCCATACAACTTTGTTTTAGTACCTATACGTTTCCGTATGTATAACATATAACATGTAACTTTCCAGGAAAGATATGCAACTGACAAAGCTAATGATTGATTGGCCTGCGCAGTGGCTGAAAGTTCTGCTTCTGATGAACTAATCTACATATATATATATATATATATATGTATATTCATGTGTATATTCTTTTAAAAGCACATCGCATTTGATATGGAGTCGCATGCCCTTCATGACTTTTCACCCCCCAAAAAAATGTCTAATTTTTCAGAGCAACAAGTTGAACCTGTCCACCCAAGATACAAAACCACACTCAATTCCCAGCGGTGCATGTTATTCCATTCCCAGAAAGGCGTTGGTTCCCCCCAAGCTTCCGATTTCGATGCTTCGAGCCTGGCGCATCTTCTTGGTGAGGTCCAAGTTCCAAACTTCCAGCGCAGCAGTCTGCTCCCTGGCCCCACAGCCCGGACGCAGAAGTGGGCTGTCCGTTTTCGGATTTTCTTCTAAAAGTGGCTCACTTGTGGGTTCAATGGAAATCCCCACTAGGCGCTAAAAAGCCAACAAGCTCAGGGGATGATTGCGAAGCACCGAAAAAAGGTGATCGCCTTTCGGAACCTCGAGAAATAGACCATAAGTCTAGGTCAAAAGGTCCAAAGGCCAAGGCTTTGGAGTGAACAAAGCCACAAATCCACCGAAACTGGGCTTTCTGGGACCCAACCTCGAGTGTCAAGGAAATCCCAGTGGATCCCAGCATGCCGACTATAGCAAACAAGCCTTCGCCACGTGCTTGCTAGATGTGTAAGGATGGTTCCCATGGTTATCTGCACAGGGAAAGGGAATCACTGGGAACAAACACATACTGTCGGTGGACAAACCTGACCCAACTGCCAGGCGATTAATCTCAGTATATCATAGATAGACAGTGATTTGTTGCTTCGTTGGAGATAGAAGGAGGGTTGGCCAATAAAAGCAATTGCCCCTTTGTTGCAGCAAGGAAAGGGGATTGTCTTTGAATTGCCCTGGTGCTGTTTGCTTCTTGGGGCACCTGTTGCGGTGTCCTTTTTTGGTGGCCCGCCTTTTGCGCTTGCCGTTGTGGTTGGCGTCTGTTGTCTGGCGTTTTCTTGCTTGGCGAAGACCACTCGAATCTGCTGAGACGATGTCCAAATTGGACACAAGGCAAAGCACAAGCAAATGAACTTTGACATGAGCTCGTTTGACAGCGTAAAAAACTTGCCTACCGTGCCACCCCAACCTCCAACGCCCCCAGAGAGCAGCCCTTACAGCCTCGCTGGGGTGCAAAGGAAACTCTGCTCGGCATTCGAATCATGAGCCACTTATTTACAGGTGTGCCCATTCCTACAACAGGGGGTGGGTGTTTTGTACCCATGACTTCGAGCCGAAGCTGAGTTCAACGTCCGCGTACCCTTTCAGAACCCCCATTCTCCTCTTCGTCCGTCACAGGGACTGTCGCGGAAAAAAGGTGGGCAATTTGACGACCCAGTTGGCACATTTGGCAAATCCACAGATTCAGGCTTTCAGCTCAATTTAAAAGTTGTGAGCAAGCACAGTTTCAATGGACTGGATGGTTTCTCACAGCTCTTCTCCACGTAAGCCCTTGCTACTGACAACCCATGCTTCTTGACATGCTCGGCCTTGCCGCCTCCAGCTGCTGTGTGAGCTTTGCCTCGGGGAAATGGATCGATCCGGCCCAGGGCTCGTCCCAGGGAGCCTTGGACATCATTTTTGCCTGGTTTTTCCGTCCATTTGTGAAGATATACAAAGGGAGCTCACCTTAGATGGGCCAAAAAGGTGATTGATGAAAACCACCGAGGCTGTTTTCGGTTGTGAAGAACCGGACAAAAATGGAAGGCCTGGAAGAAATGCGACACTTCCACCAAACTTCTCCTGAACGTGACGAACACCCGGCAGTTTGGGCCATGTTCTCTGCGGCAACTTGGGAATCTCCCAAGCGCCCGCTTCACCCGGCAGAACCACCTAGAATGGCCCCGTCTAGGCTTCGGCGCTGGAAAAAGGGTGGCCATCTCAGGAATCCAACAAGTTGCTTAAATGTGTTTTTCTCAAAATGGTGGACCCCCTTTAGGGTTGGCATGTAAAGTGAAAGGGAAACAAAAAGGACACCAACCCAGTTTTGTGGGAATCAGTATTTCAGAACCCCCAACAAATGTTGGGCCTTGTGGCGCCTAGCGCCAGAACCCGTGATACCGACGACAACCGCCTTGTGTGGCTCCTCAGCCATACCATTTGCTTTCGCTCCCTGGGGAAAACAAAAAACAACAATGTGTCCAGTGATAGATTCCCCTTTAAAACCAACAGGGGAAATATAAGTATTCAAAAAGGTCTTTATTCAGGAGGAGTCATCATTTGGGTGTGTCTCTTTTTAGGGCCGCCCCAACAAATTTGAGGTTCCTGGTGGTGTCCCTTTAAAACCACCAAAAAAGGGGTACCAAAAAAAAAGAGACACACCCGTTGGGGGGTGTCTGTTTTAGGCGGGGTTGGTTAATGAAGGTGACTGCGCCAGAACCCTCCTCAAACGAATCATCATGGGAGGGTTTGTTCAAGGACATCGTTATTATTTACATCTTGTTTGTCTCGTACTATTAATGATGTTCATAACAATGTATAACAATGTGTGTAAGCTTTAGAATCCTAGAATGTCTAGCTTTAGAATCTATGACTGGCATTCACTAGTATGATTGCTCGTCTTTTATTGCAGTATCTTGCTATGTTGTGTTCTTTATGAACAATCGGATGCATTCCAGATAAGATCCCATGCCGCTCAAGTCACCTATCTCCTCTTGTCACCGCACACCTGCAGAAACCAACTAAATGGGTGTGTCTTTGTTTAAGGGTACCCTCTTGTTTGATGGTGTCAAAAAGAAACCAAATTGAAAAACCACCATTTTGGGGGTCTCTGAAAAAAGAGACACCCAAAAACAAGCCATGTCCTCTTAGTCTGAGGGAAGTGAGCTTGTTACCTAAGTCCATGGGTAAAATTCAAAATCGCTGGGAACCACTCCCCTTTCTGGGACACCTCATGGCCGACACTGGGACGCACTTCCCATTGCCCGCCAGGAGGCTCCCCAGAAAGCTGGGTTGGGCAGGTTCCATGTTTTCGCAGAAAGTTCGTCACCAAACGCCAGCAAAACTTTGACTTTCCCTCCCATATTATCCAAAAGCTCGGAATCATTGCCGTTCTTTTTCCGACCCGAGCAGATGGAATGGTCAGACCATGGAACATGGCCCTGCTCAACGTGAGGTGGCTTCTGCGACTTCGGCGACTTCGCCGCAGCTCTCCGCCTTTGGGCCTCTGGGGCCCCGGCCACTTGCCGCTCCAAGGCACTGACTTGCTCCTTCTTGAAGAGGTCCTTCCCCGGTCGTTTCATCGGGCCCGCTGAAACATCAGACATCCCCAAGACAAGTTGCTTGCCAACAGGGGACCACGTTCGTGCTTTTTGTTCCCAAACAAACAAACCGTGGAAGGCATCCATGACGGCTCATTGCCACATAAGCTGGGGATTCATACCCACCAACACATGCGTTCTCACATCAATACACGCTGGTAGCCTCTAAACCGGGACCCTTTCGTTTTTCCAGCCCCAAGCCTGTTTTTTGGAGTCTGCGGATAACTCAGGGGCTGCTCTCCCAACAAGACCCTATTGAGGCCTTCCATGTTTGTTGACCCTCCATTTTACCTCAGATTCGGACATAAAAACAACAGGCTGAGGGTCACAGCCCAGTTGCCTCTATATTGGGGAAGGTAGTTTCTGCTATTTAATTTGATTGATTTATTTATTTTTTTTAGGGGGGGTCTGAAAATAGTGCCCCCTGACATAACTCAAATGCTGGTTTCCCCTGGTTTCCTACTCTACCAACCTACCTCAAAGCTCCTGAATCGCTCTCAAGGCGTCTTCCGTGCCTGGAGGCGCGTGAGCTCGCGCTGGTTCGTCTGGTGCTGGATCTCTGGATCCTCTCTGAAGAGAGCCTGCCAGAACGAAGAGCTCGGTCCAAAAAGACGGGGGCCCGGGTTCTCTGCATGGGTGGCTCTCCAACAGAAGGGTTCTCTGTATGGGTGGCTCCTCTGTTTTAGTCCCCTCGTTGGTTAGCTTGAAAGGGATACCGGAAGGAAAGCCACATTTGTTGTGGCGGTCAGCCCCTTTTCCACTAAGCCCAAAGCGGAAATGGATACGTAGCCTTGGTGCAAGAGACCACTTCCTTCCGCTTTTGGGACACAGGAACCAACACCACGCTCAACCCAGAGAAGGAACTGTCTCTCTTCAGGGTTCCCTATATCTCCTCTTTACAAGTCACCCCTTCAAAAGGAAACTGAACGAATTGGAAACCGAACTTCAACGGGGAAACAGGGGCGTGTCTTTCTTGGGCCCCAAATAAAGATATGGACTCCCCAAAATCGAGTGATTTCCTTTTGCCATTTCAGGATGCCCGTCGTTTGTCCACAGACTGCTGGCTAGTGAGCAGGAAAGCTTCAGTCATTCCCCCAGAATATAATTCGCTGAAGTCCAAAACAGCCAAGCAACAAACAAGTTTCCGAATCAGGTTTCTTGCCGAATTGATGTGCACCCCAGATTCACATGCCGATGTTGATCGGGCACCCTAAGTGGTATTTCCTACCTCCAGACGCGGCATTTATCCCGCAGAGGGTTCTCGGACCACTTGTTGGGGACCCCCCCGCCCCATGGGGGTGTTTGGGGAGGGCTAAAGGGGAGGAAGGAGGGTGCGGGGTCAATCTGCGGGTCAACATTTGGGTATTTTGTTTTCCGCAAACAACCCAAATAGTTTCCCTTTATCACCCCAAACAAAGGGGGACCTCTCAAAACAGACATACCCATTGAGCCCTTTTCAGCCCGCGGCCTCACGCCTCTTTTCACAACTCCCGCCTGAGCCCTGGCAAGTTCCGCTTCGGATCCATCCGGGTCGCAGAAATGATGCACAGGGGGTCGTAACATGTCCCAGCTGCCGCAAAAAGGTAAGATCTTGCCAAACGTTTGCAAAAGGAAAGTGGTGTGGTTAGGGTTGGAAACCCAAAGTGCCGGAGCCCTGCTCCGGTTGCGGGTTGCGGCCAGGCTGACTTGGGTGTCGCTTCCTCAACGAGACCCCCCGGTTTCGTCGGATGCGTCAAGCCACAAAGGAGGGAACCGCATGTTCTAGGTACCACATGGAAGTTTCCCTGATTTTTGGGGGGTGAAAGGCAAAACCCGAGCTCTTCCCGGAAACGCCCCGTGACCGCCCCGTGACCGCCCCGCACCGACTCACCGCACCGGCTCACAGCGAGCGCTCACCGCGCGCAGCCGAGCTCAGCTCTGCGGGCTTCGAAGGCCAAGTTCAGCGCCACGCTGCAGGCCTTCGAAGGCCGACCGCCGCGTGCGGAGCCAGTGTGTCGGGACCTTCAGGGGACCAAAACCCCAAAATGGCTTCGGTGTTCCTTGTGGTTTCCCTAGAAAAAACCCACTTTTGAGGTGGGCAATTATTAAAATGCATAGGCGTATTGGACCCTGCCCCCGCACACTAACTGTGGATGAACATTTGGGTCAATCAACACTAAAACGGTCTTACAATTTGTGGCGACTCTCGGATTTAAACCAATAATCAATCAGGTGTCTAACTAAACACAAACAGGGGCATCGCGTAGATGTCCAGCCTAACTATCAGGCAACCATGTCCATCAAAGCAAAGGCCTACAATAACAACAGGTCCTCGGAGTCCTCAGGATATCATTTTTGGAATACACTCTTTAACTTGATCCAAGGTCAGGTCTGGGCACGGCTGCCTCAAAGGTGAAAAAACAAAAAACGAGTTTTCGAGGCTGACCCGAAAGGCAGACGGTTCCGGGAGCCAAGAGAGAGCAGAAAAACCGCAGCTTTCACCGAAAGTCCGCGGAGGCTCGGGCGCTCGAGCGGAGTGAACATAGAGGGCAATGTCAATGCCTGGCTCTTGCTGTTGCCAGTTCTCGATAGGGTGCTTGCCGTTTATTTGCCACGCGGAGTCTTGCGTTTAAAAATTAGCGTTTTCGCGCGCAACGCGAACAGTGTTAGAGAGAGCCAAGCTCAATTAGTGCCAGCAATACGAATTTCTTGTTAAGCTTCAGTTGACCTTGACTACTTACCTTAAGCAGCCTGAACATCCAAGCAGATCTCTCTTGGAAACCTACGGATGTTTGCCAAGGTAAGGACAATCTTTGAGGTGGTTGAGCTGGAGGAAACTGAAACGCCCTTATTTCAACAGGCCAATCTCCACCTGAAGAGTCTGCGTTTAAACAAATAAAAGGGAAAGCCGAGAGAACCTTGCGATGTTTGACGCGGGGAAACACCGGGACATACCTGGGTCGTGAACAAGATCTTCGTGAGACCATAGCCGCTAGGATATCCTTCAAACAACCTTCGCCTTTGCCTCCAAATTGTCTAGGCGTTGAGATGTAACATGGAGTCTCCATGAACATGCAAAATATATTTTTTGGGGGGACCCTGAGAAGTCAAAACCCACCCCATGAAGGGCACAGATCTACTTTGGTCGCAGGCCTTGGCTGTGAATGCTTTTCTGTGGTTCCCCTATTTTAGGCTAAATATGTCCTAAAAACTTAGGTGAACTCCAAGAATTGCCATGGTTGCTTTGTGGTATCCCTTCATTCATTAGCTGCTTCTCCTAAAACTACGGCCTCCAGGGCTCATCTAGGGACTCAGAGCGAGTTAACTATTTGGGGTTTCACAGGCCAACCTAGGACGAAACAGGCTTTGTTTTACCATTCTCGAAGTCACCCCACAAGTGGTGGGTCAAAGGGAACCTAATTTGCTTATATAACTCCTCTGGCAACAGTAACCACATGTCCAGTAGGGATAGATTCAATCCCTTCAAACAGGGGAAAATGACACATCTTCGTAAGCAAGTGGCAGGGAAACAACTGGCCATAGGTCATAACCCATGCCTCCATTTTGGGGCGGATGAACTCCCATGTACCACCTATTTGGATGTTGACCAGGGGTTTCCAGGGTTTTGACCCGCACTGACTTTGATCCCCAAAAACCTGTCAAGCTAGTGACCAGCAGCCCTCAGATCTTCGACTCGCCTGCAGCACTTCGGAGCTGCACGCCGGGTGCTGCACTCGCAGCCGGTCCTCGGGTCCCACATCCCGGGGCCGGTCCGTTGCTTGGGAGGTACGTGCCCCAGAGGCTGTCCGAGCAGGACATGAAGGAAACCCAAACTGCAGTGTCTGGCAAGTGGGGCGCGTCTTTTGCGGACAGGGCTGCCGTTTCGGCCAAGGGAAATCCACGACAAGACCACGGGCAGGTTGAAGGCTCACATTTGGGACACACAAAGCACACACACACACACTGACTCATTCCGAAGTTGAATGAAAGTCAAAACTTGGGGAGCCGTGTCATACGGCGTCTTGATGCTCCTTGGCAATCAGTCGCTATTAGTCACTACCAGCCGCTATCAGGCTCCAATGGACTCCTCTTTGGTAGGGTAAATGACAAAAGTAGAGGTTGACGCGATCGCGCCTACGCCCAACCCACATGGACAAATGGCCAACATGCTAAAAAAGTAGCGGTTGACGGCATAAATCCGCCCAAATGGACCACGCCCCCCTGCACCCCCGCCCAAAAGCTGCAAGCATCTCCCGTTCCATGGGCCGCCGCGCCGGGTGCACTTGGCGCTGGCCCTCGTGGTAGGCCTTGCCTGGGAAGTTAGCCGGATCCTTTCTTTCTGGGCGGGGTTCGGGGTGGGCTTTGGAGGGGGAGTTTGGAGGGGGAGCTTGTGGGGGTGTTTGATTTGTGTGTTTGTTTGCAATTGTCCTTGTTTGTCTTTTTGGGGGGGAGGGGGCGGAGGTAAAAAAAGAGTCATGGTGAAGGGTGGCCCTGTTTTTTCTCTTAAAAATCAAAACATGGATGCTCCTTCGTTTTCTGAGCAGCTTTCCGCTTTTCGGGGCATGGCGGAGATGCAACACACCTCGCTATTCTTGGCTGGCCACTGTTCATGTTGGCTTGTTTGGAGGGGGGGTCGTTTCTAGGAGAGTTCACCACATAATTGGCCCTTGCCAAGTGACCCGAAAAGCCATCAACATCTTTTCCTCTTCATAGAAACTGAGAAGCAATTGTCCAACCACGTCAAGACACCCCACATGGGGGTTCAAGTTAGTTCCCTCATTTTCCGCAAAGAACACACTGAAAACGCCCTCGTTGCTACAATTCAAAACAAGAAAAACAGAGTCTTCAGTCATCTTGCACGCGTGTGGGCGTTTTTTGGCTCAGGCTTTGGCCCCGGATCTCAGCAAAACACCCCGTGCGAACTTCGAAAATGGGCCCAAGCAAACGGATGACTACAACCAAGGCTTATCTTCAGGGATCTCCACCTTCAGAATCAACCCCCTTGGCTGGAGCGGCTCGGCGTGCTCCGAAGACGGCACAAGGGTAGAAACTTGCTTGGTGAAAGAAACGACAAGGACCAACTTCCATGTATCCTCTCCCAATTCCGAAGGGCACACCGCCAAACCGCCCAAGGGCCTTTGGCATTCTTTCACCCTTTGCCTGCATTTTAGTGCGCTGCTGGTTAACTCCTCAGTTGGGTCCTTGAAGGTCCATGGACATCACACACACACACACACACCCGAAGGCCCGGCTGTGTGACCCTGGCGAAGGATGTCTCGCTGAGCCCAACACGGAGCGCCCCGCAATCCGAGGACCGCCGCACCGCCAGCAGGTCTTGGCCTAACACGACGTGGCACACAAGAGGGTTTATGATTTTGAGCCTTGGCTCAAAGGATGAAGATACAAGGTAAGTTTAATGGTACTGAACACTACAAGAACATGTTTTTTTGGGCATGGGCAAGAATGGTGAAAATGCCTACTGCAATCCATAAAGGAGATTGATCATGCCGACCTTATGATGGCCAGGATAACTACCAAGAAAAACATCATCTTTGCCAAGTCAAGAGGAAAGTATGAAAGGGGCTATGCGAGGGAACGGGCTTTTCCGGCATCTTTATCTTTCCTGAGTCAGGCTGAAAATGAAAGGTTCCAGAGTTGCACCCAGGCACCCCTGAAATGAGGGCTTTTCGGACAGGCTAAAACTTACAGAATCCCGGGTTCCAGGCTGGCGCAAAGGGCACCCTTTTTGCAGCCCCCGCGGTCACCCAGCATCCCCAGCAGCCCGGAGCGCACCTGCAAGCGTCCAACAGCCTATAACCTCTGGACAAGCCCAGAGTTTACCCAAAACTGATCTAGAACCGAACCCAAACTAAGCCTTAAACCAAGTCTGCATCCTTCATTCCAAACCCACCCGTATCCCACCTTGGGCCAACTAGAAAGCAACCGCCTAGGCCCTAGCCCATGGGAACTAACAGTGGGCAAATTCTAACAAACTACCCACCCTGAACCTAAACCTAAATCAAACCAACAACTAGTCTAGATCCACCAAACTTAACCAACCCTTGACCAGCCTGGGCCACCCCCACCCCCAACCACTACAGGGAGGGGGAGCCCAAACCAATCCTCAATGGGGGCGGGGGGGTGGGAGACCCCCGGCCCATTCCACAGCAGGCCCCGTCACTGTTAATGTACATCCATCCTTGTACATCACCATGGCCTTTGTACAATCAAGGCCTTGAGCCTATGTACATCATAGGAGCTACAGCCCTCGCCTGCCAGGACTACAAGTGCCGAGCTGTCACATCACAGGTTTGACACATTTAGGTCATCAGGTGTTTACACAGTTAGTTCCACTTTAACATGGCAGCGGAGCAGTGATCCCTGGTACACGATCCTTGACCACAACCCAGGGTGAGCTCCATCACGCACCCACAGGTTCAGGCACACAGTAGTGAGCAACATGGCACAACAACAGCAGCAACAGGAACAACAGCAGTTGAAAGGAATCCACAGATACAAGATATCACCACCACGGTTCACAGAAGAATACAACACCTTCGAAGAATGGAAGTACAAGATGACAGCATACTTGGGATTACAAGATCCAGCATACAACAGACTGTTGAAACAGTCAGAGCAATCAACAGGACAAGTTACAAACGACCAACTTGAGAATGCAGCACCTTCACAAGCAGTAGCAGAGCAATGGGTACAACTGAGCAACAATCTACACTACCTCTTGGTGAGTACATGCGATGGACCAGCATCTACAATTTGCAGGCAAAACATGCAAGGCAACGGATTTGAAACATGGCGGCTGATACATGCAAAATACTCCATACACGAAGCATTGGGCACCTAACAAGGTTACTCAAACCACAACTTGATGAACAGAAGTTCGATGAGAGCTTCACAACATGGGAGTTTCTTCCCTTTGCTGAAAACATCCAAAAACACGCAGTTTTGTGCTTTCCCTTTGCTGAAACCATTAAAAGCACAGTGTTTTCGACTTCCTTGACCACCTTCTTTGCGTGACTTGTAGAGGGAATGCAGATGAGTTAAGCCTTGCCTGTAGCAATAACTCTTTACCCCCCAATTTTCCCTAAATGTCTTCCCAACTTTGCCCCAACTTCCCCCCAATGTCCCGTCAATTCCCCCAAATTTCCACCCAGTCTCCCCCAAAATTCCCCACCCCCCACATTCCCAAATTTCACGCCCCCCCCCCCCCAACTTCCACCAATTTCGCAAAATTTCCCCCCAACTTCCTCCACCCAAACTTCCCACAAATTGATAGAGGCAAGCTCTAACAGATGAGGTGTGAGAAATGCAGGGGAGATGAAGGGGGAATGCAGGGGAAACAAAGGGAAATGACAGACAGTGATAAGGAAATCAACGGACGCGAAGGGACATGTAGGGCAATGAGTGGGACATAAATCGAAAATGAAGCCGAAATACCGAGAAAATGACAGGCACATGAAGGTGGAATTGACAGGAAATGAAGGGGACATAACGAGGAAATTATAGGATGAAAGGAAATGACGGGACATGAGAAGGAAATGAAGGGGCAATCAAGGAGGTAGATAAAGAGAGAGAGGATGGAGGGAGAGAGGGAGAGAGGGAGAGAGGGAGAGAGGGAGAGAGGGAGAGAGGGAGAGAGGGAGAGAGGGAGAGAGGGAGAGAGGGAGAGGGAGAGAGGGAGAGAGGGAGAGAGGGAGAGAGAGAGAGAGAGAGAGAGAGAGAGAGAGAGAGAGAGAGAGATAGAGCGAGAGAGAGAGAGAGAGAGAGAGAGAGAGAGAGAGAGAGAGAGAGAGAGAGAGAGAGAGAGGGCGGCAATGTGTGTTCGACGCCCGACAACGACGCTTGAACAGTGCGCCGTTGGCGAACCTGCCTCAGCCGAGGCGAGACCAACGAAGGAACAAACCTCTCTCAAAGCTAGCTCTGGAGCCAAGCAGCGCACTCGGGCTCTTCAGATCGCACTTCTCCTGGAGCTCGCAGGAAAGCCGTTTCGGCAGCAGCCGCAGGGCTTGCTGCGCTTGCTCGTCCAGCTTGGGCTCCTGGTCGTCCTCAGTCGTGTACGTCTCGTCATCATAGTATGACTGGGAGGGGGACTTAGGCTCAATCTTCTTCTTCGCGGGCTTTGTTTTCGGCTTCGCACCGGTCGTCATCTTTGTGTCCTCCTCATGCGTTGCCCACATATGCTGGTCCAGCGAATCGGTGGTCTTGAGCCACTTCTCGCACTTCCGACATTGCTGCCAATCCATGGTGCCTGACCCCTGTCGAGCCAAATGAAGGCCACGGCAGACTCTCTCCGTCAAACTGCAAGAAGCCTTCCACAGGGCCCGCCAAAAGACCGAAAACGGCATTGCCGCAGCCCACTCCCCTGGTGGAAATTGCAAGGGACATGAAAAGAAGTCTCGGGGACACGACTCAGAGACAAAGGGAAGCTGAGATGTAAGGCACTACCCTCTTGCCTGTTGATATTGATACGGCATTTTGTTCTTTCAAGAAATCGTTACCGCTTGGAGATGTTCGTCCGATTACAAAAGAAGGGAAGATAAGAGAAGAGCAGCGCAGAAACAGGAAGAGAAGAAGAGGTCAATGTCGGCGGACTGAGCCGGAGGCTCTAAAGTTTCCTTGGCAGGAACATCTCACACAAAGGCGACCACCTTGACATCAGCTTGAACAACAACTATGTTGACATCATCCTTGAAGAATCAGGAATGACTACATGCTACCCAGCACCATCACCAGGAGTACCACACATGAAAGGTACAGTAGAAGATGAAGCACCACTAGATCAAGAACAATACAAGAAGTACAGACGGCTTGTATACACAAGACCAGACATCAGCTATGGAGCAAAGGAGCTAGCAAGATCAAGCACCAACACAACGTGACAACAAGAAGCTCAAGCACATGATCAGGTACCTTAAAGGAACAAGGTACTCGCAACACAACCTGCGACCGAAGATACAAACACAGGACAAACGAATTCCACTCAACATTGACACATACACAGATGCCAACTGGGCATCGTGTAAGACAACAAGGAAAAGCACAACAGGATTTGTACTGTACTTCTTTGGAGCAGCAGTACATTATGGCAGCAGAACACAAGCAACAATAGCACTTTCATCAGTGCAATTAGAGTTGTACGCGATTGGTACAGCAGCACAGGAGAGCCTCTACATCAACAAATTCATCAAGGAAGCATTTGAAGTACGCACCAACATCAGGATACACACAGACAGCAGCGCAGCAAAATCAATAGCAATGAGAGAAGGCACATCAAAGAAAGCAAAGCACATCGAGCTGCGACACCTCTTCATACAACAACTTGTCACAAGCAAAATCATCACCATGCACAAGGTGAAGTCAGAAGACAACACAGCCGACATTCTTACCAAGTTTGTTGGCAGCGACACACTCAACAAACACCTGTACAACGTTGGCCTTTGAGGCCACACCACAACAGTTTCACACCAGTGAGTACAGTAGTCAGCACAGGTTGTTAAACAACAGGTGCACGGTTTACACATGTTTGCCTTACCACCTAACAGCCGGCATTGTCACAACCTTTTAGGGTAGATACAGCAGCCATGGATCGACCCTGTCTTTATGATAGCTACATCTTTTCCCCAACATCTTTTGGGAGCTACATTTGCGTGTGAGCTTGCACATGTCTCAAACATTGCTTTGATACATCTCTGCAGCCATTTACATAGGCCATGCATCCACAGATGATGGTTCCAGAGGAAATTACACTGGAACCGGTGGATGTCATCGTCCCTACGACACCGGAGGAGCCTCAGGACCACACCACGGTGTCAATCCCGCTTACAGTGGAGCAGTGCAACTTCATGACAACAACTGTTACAACGGTGCAGGATGAGGTGAAAAGATCCCGGGCTACATGCGATGTCCTACATTGGGTTTTGTCGGCATGTTGTACAGCATCATGGACTGCTTCAGAAGGTTTATGAGAAGAGGATTACAGTTTTCAATCGCGGGTACATCGGACAGGTTTTACAGCTGCACAAGGAGTGTACATGGAACCTGACACCTACAGAACGGGCGCCTGGGATTTTCTACAAGCTCACAGGGCACATCACCAACCTGTACGAGAATTACAATTTGGCCAAGGACTACGTCATCCTTCAGCACATCATCATCCCCGTTGAGAAGGTACTGAACACAAAGGATTTCCGCGACAGGATCCATGCAGGTTTCTCGATGGCTTTGAGCCATCATGCATACCCTGCAGAACAGACCATCTCTGAGCCGTTGAAGACAATGGTCATCGAGTACATTGTTCAGCCTGGAGTACAGCTGATGGGAAACAGCACTGACCTGATCCCCGGACAGATTGGGTACAGCGACCAACGCTTGCAGAAGATTTAGCAGCGCTATCATTTTGTCACAACATCAAGAATACAAGCTGCTCAACAAAAAGAAGATCACGGACGACAGCACTTGAGTACATCGAGTACATCTTGCCACAATGGCATACCGTAATTCGTGGTACAATTGGTCCGACAGCGAAGGACATCGATGTATAGTTACATCCGCTTTCTGGCCATCAGTTTACATGCAGTGGTCTTCTTACATCATCCTGATCAACAAGGACAGTTGTACATGTTTGGCAAAGTGTGCTAACATAGCACAATTTGAGGAGGGGTGTCAATGTACACCCATCCTTGTACATCACCATGGCCTTTGTACAATCAAGGCCTTGAGCCTATGTACATCATAGGAACTACAGCCCTCGCCTGCCAGGACTACAAGTGCCGAGCTGTCACATCACAGGTTTGACACATTTAGGTCATCAGGTGTTTACACAGTTAGTTCCACTTTAACAGTCATGCGTAAACATATATATATATATACATATGTGTATATATATGTACATACACATATATGTCAATGGATAAATGTCTGTGGCCAAAATCTATCCAAACCAAGCAAATCCTCAACCAACCCAACCCAACCCAAATCCACCCCAACCCAACCCAAACCAAAGCCAAAGCCAAATCTACCCCAAGCCAGCCATAGCCAAGGCAAAACATGGCAAAACCAAACCTCCCTCCTCCTTGGCCGGGCGGCGCTGTTGGCAGGCTGCTCGCGCCTCCTCAAGGTCCCGGAACCTGGTTTCTGGGCTGCGGTCGGAAGGCGGGTGCTACGGGGTTGGTGCCATGGGACAAAGCGGTTGGGGGGGTGCTGGCGCTGGTTATTCGTTCTTTTTTTTGGGGGGATCCCCCTTGAAAATCCGCCAACAAAACAGTTGCTACGCATTCTTGATTCTTGATTCTTGATTCTTGATCCATGGGGTTGGGGTTGGTTTGGGGTTGGTTTGGGGTTGGGGTTAGCTTTGGTTTGTTGCAATGGTGCATAGGGTTTGGTTGGGTTGGTTTGGGGTTCGGTTCAGAGTAGGTGGGTTGGTGTAGGGCGTGGGGCCTGACTTGGAGATTTAGACTGACAATCACAGTTTTGTTGCAGCACGACAAGTGCTGACTGATTGACAGCCATTGTTACAACCTTCTTTCGAAGTACTCTTCGGATGCATCCGGAGGATTGGGGGAGTTGATCTGCTTGAGGGTTGGGGGGGGGATTACTCTGATTCGCACGGCCCTACTGACTATCCTTGATTGTAACTTGGATAGGTATGTTTAACTATCCCCAAAAGCAATCATATGTTTTTGGGCCATGTGCGGCTTTCGGGAGCCAGCATGAATCCAACAAACTGTCGTTGAAAGCGGGAGGGATCAAAAAGCGAGATGTCCAAGGCGCCTCCATTTGGTTGATTTGCTTTGCCAGAAGGATGGCCAAACCCTTTCTGGGCCCGTTTAAAAAAAACAAAACAAAAAAACATATCGTCGCCTCGCCCCTTCCAAACGGAAGGGACAAAGGGTGGGCGTGTGGGGTATTCTTGGGCCTGATTTTCCAGGGATCTCACCCGCCAAACAAAAACCAAACAAGGCAAACGGAACTGGGTCCAAGAAAGTGACATCCCGACAAACATTACCCGAGCTTTGCATTTGCGGGAGGGGGGGGGCCACCTCTAGAAGTTTTGTGAACGGGCCCTCAGGCTCAAACCACTTCAACGACCCAAGAGGAGAAGCACCGTGCACAAGTTGGGTATGTTTCAAAAATCGGACCCCAAGAATTGGCTTGCAACTCTTCCAGGCCAACTTCCTTCAGACGTGCCCGTAACAACCCACGCCGGGGCCATTTCCTCTGGCCAGAAACCTGAGGCCTCCCGCGGACAGCGGCCCCGCAGCAACAGCAGTGCCAGGCGGTGCTCGAACCTTCGAATGGTTTGAGCCTATTTTTTGGATGGTCCTCTGGATCTGGCTTTTGCCCCCAACAAAACATAACAAATAGGAAAAGAAGAAGAAGAAAAGAATAAGACACCCTCTCCCTTGTTCCCAACGAGGCAGAAACACTGACATGTATGCCATGTATGCTTACATATCTGTGGAGGTATCAACGCCCGCTTCTTCAGGTTGGCCCTCAGAGCCCCGGAAGCTTCGGGGACTTTGGTAGCTGGGCGCACGAAACTCCGAGCAACACTCCTTGGCTCAACTCGTGGGTTTTGGACCCCCCAACGCACCTTCGAAGCTGGGTTGATGGGCCTCTCTCAAAAAGCGGGACCCTCAAAAAGAGACAGGGCCAACTGATGCTCTGGGGGGAAAGACTTGTAAAGATTTGTGACCAGTGACCTTACCAAAGGCGGACAATGAGGCCGCACCCTTTGGCGGTTCGAAAAGGTCGACCCTGGATCAATCAACCTGGTGAATCAACATTTATGCGGGTGTCTTTCCAGAAAAGTGAACCGGATTCCTTCCCACCTCCCCCCCCAAAAAAAACGAAAAAATAATAAACAAACAAAAGCATCGACAGGGGAGTATTTATCAACTGGCTCCTCATGATTCACATTGGCGAGCATGAAATCGTGGAGCGAAGAGCTTTCGATTTCAATTTAGGTTTGTTACACTCCCCCCAGGCGTGCGTCCAACCGAATACGCCTTTTATGCCTTTTTGGAGACAACCACGCCGCCCCTCCAAGCCGCAACAACATGCTCAACACCCTTTTGCGTGTGGTTTCTAGTGGTGTCCTTTGGTTTCCTGTGGAGCCACTCCGAGTAAATCTAAAAACTGGGTGGGTTGCTGCAGTTCCCTCTGGCCTCCTTCTGTTCGCTTTTCTTCCATTTGGCTAACACCCCTGAAAAGAATTAAAAAATACAACATATTTCCAGTAGTGATAGATTCCCTTTAAAACCAACAGGGGAAAACAACAAAATATCCTTAAGCACATGGAAGTTGTGTTTCCTTTGCTTTCAACGCCAAATCCGTTCTCGAAACTGGGAGCATGACCGAGTGCTGAACCGCTGCTTGCAAGTGGGGGCTTCAGGGTTCTTGCCAGCAGGGGTCTCCATCTGGGTGATTTTAGGGAAACCAAAGGAAATTAGACAACTCGAAACTTCCACTTGAGAAACCCATGGGAAAGCCCCGACTCGCCACTCCCTTTTCCGGCACGACTGGCGAACCGTCCCATGTCCACACCGCGAGCGTGTGTTGACCTCATAGTTGTTCCTACTGGAAGCACTGCACTTCGCATAGGATGTCTCACCACACCTAAGGACAATTGCAACGTACTCCGTTTCAAGGCCCCGAACACTTCTAGGCACATGCTCAAAGACATGGGAGACCGACTGAGCCATTTGGTCTCCCAGAGGGCCACCCACTTTAATGGCAGTCCTGGCTTGCCGGAAAGGGAATCCCTCCAGCCCAACATGGGTTGCTGCACACGCTTTTCTCAAACGGCCAGGCTTCGCCTTTCACACCAACAGCAGCTCGACCCGCACCGGACCCTCAGGCGCGGACGTGTCTAAGACGCCAGCGAGCCAGGCACGGCTTGCCCTGGGGCGCCAGCTTCGCGCTCGGTTTGTGGGGAAGGCGCCTGTTTTGGCACAACTACCCAAACTGGGATCACCAAAATGCTTGTCAAACAAGGCGCCGAAGTATATTGCTTTCCATCCACGAATTGCTTGAAGTCTTCAAGCCGAACTTTTTTGAACATGGAACCCACCAAAGGCTCTGTTTGAGAGTAAAACGGTCAGGACCCCCGGCACTTAGGTTCCATGACCACATGAGTGGGGAGAACATCTTCTTTTCCTTCAAACCCACTTGCAACCCACAGGACCAGCAAATAGGTCAGCTAAGGATCACCTTTGGGACCGTTCAGCCCGAAGGAACTGTTTGGTTCAAACCAGGCCACGGTGTTCCAGGTGTTCTCTTGGAAGAAATCGATCGCGTTGGCTTAAAAGCAAGAAGTGTCAACATATGTGGAAAAAAAGAGCTTAAGCCAGGGAAATCCATCTATGTTCAATCAGACCTAAACAGGTCGCCTTATGGTTCCTTGTGTGGCAGCATCTTGCGTCTATGTAATTAATTCTTGCGTCTGTGGTTGGAAAGGGCGGGGGATGCGCTCCAGGCTGCCCATCTGGCTGCGGCTTCTGCCTCTCCTGCCAGACAGCGATGCCGCGATGCCGCGATGCCGCTCTCCGCCCCTTGATCTTTGCACCCGCGGAGACAGTGGCTGCCCGTTGATCCTGAGGGGCCAGCTGTCGTGCAGGGGGCCGCAGCGGCGAAAAGTGCACTTCAGTTTCTCGGCAGAGGTCTGGACTTGCGCTGCGAACGTGTTCTTGGTCTAGGCGCGCTGCGCTTTTGCTTGGGTTTTCAGCGCGGCTCGCAATGTTGGCTCAAATCTCTTCCTCAAACCTTCTGCTGAGCTGCAGGCCACGAACGATTCTCATGCGCGATGGTTTCCGTGCGTAGAAAACGGCGGCTGCGTGCTGCAAGCAGAAGCGGGCTCTCACTTACAAAGTTCGCCACTCAGAACTGAGAGGCAGGTGCAAAGTCGCCGGAACGCAACGCCTTGACTGCTCCTGGATGTGGGTCAAGCGATTCGGTGAATCGCAGCATCAATCGGCGCATCTGGGACAAAGTTTGCCGATTTGTATCCACGCGCTACACGTGCCAATGAGATGGGGGAGAAGTGGAAAAAGACTGCTCCGCAACTTGTTCTCACCACCAAAACTCACCCTATGTCCCTCCCAAATGAAACATGGACTGCTCAAAATCAAACACGAGATAGAGGATTGTTGAAATCCCTAGTATACATATCATAACCATGATGGCTTTACTTACTCTCTCAGAACCATTGTTGTAGCCTAAGTGGCTTGAATACTCATTGAGCTAGCCTCATAAATGTTCTTTGGTTGCATTGATTGCAGATATAATGCCAAGAGAAATGAAGGAGATCCCGTTGCCATGAAACCCAACTAAGCAGCCTCGCTTGGGCCGTGTTCTTCTCCTTACGGATCCTTTGGCGTTTCCACAAATGCAGTAGCTGTATGTGAAGTTCTGCTTCGAAGGCACTGGCAAAACTCTGAAAAGCCGTTGTAGTGACAAAGTAGGGGACCTGCAAAGAATGTGGATTCCCGTTCAAATTGAATGGGCATCCTCAAACAAAAATGGCACAGTTTGCAGACGTGTGCTGCTTTCCAAAATGAAGGTCCTGCTGTCAACGCTTGATGATTGGCGTCCTTTCAGTCCCCTTTTACCAGTCAAAAACATGTTGGGAAACTTGCACTTTTTGTAAACCGTTGGGCCTGGGGTTTAAACAAACGTGATGTTTAGTAAAACCCCCTTTAGTGTAATAAATGGGGGGTTAACCAACAAAAAACAAGTCTTTTTGTTTAACACACCAAAACACGTGTTTGCTTGTTTAAGCAAACCTCACTTAAGTTTAACCACAAGAAAAAGTGCTTTTTTAAAACGCCAAAACACATGTTTTTGTGTGATGTTTAAGCAAAAGCCCATGACTCACTTAAAAGGGTGGGGTCCACCCCCTCGCCGTGCATCCCGGCAGCCAAAAGGCCTCCGCCTGCTGCGACATCTCCCAGGCCTGCCAGGCGGCTCCCCCGAAAATTGGTTGTTCCGAACTTGGAGCGTTGTTGTGTTTTTTGGAGGGCACCCATTTGTTTGGTTGTGTTGTTTGTTGGGTGGGTGGGGTTGGTTGCAGTCTTGTTCGTTTTTGTTCTTGTGTTTGTTGCGAGGGTACACGTTCCACCGTGTTAGGGTGGTTTGCGGGTGTCTTAAAAACGCCTTTCGGGCTTTAATGGGTGGAGTTTCCGGTCTCTTTATTTGTATTTTTTAAACGAGGGTACCAGTTGTTTTTCTCCGGTTTTATTGGGTGAGGTTTTTAAAGGTAAACAAAAAGGGAAACTCCAATTTTGGTTGTCTGAAAAATATATTGTGGGCTTCAAAGGGTGGAGTTCCCCCAAATTTGAGGGTGGGTTTAAAGAAAAGGGAAACTCCAAGTTTGGGTGTCTTAAACTGGGGGAACCCCCAACATTGTGCTCTTTTTGGCTTCCATTTACCACCAACGAAGGGGTACCAAGCCTCAAAAAAAACACACCCATTGGGAGTGTATCGGATTTGCTCAGACAGGGATTGGCCGGATGGGGGATGGGGAGATGGGGGATTGGGGTAGTGGGCCTGCCTGGCCAGCAAACATTGAAGGAAGTTGTCGGCCGGAGAAAAAAATAAAAATAAAACGCTTAAAATGATAGACACACCTAGGACAGGGTTGATAAAAGCTTTGCCGACTGAAAAAGTGAGGAAGCGACTGAAGAACAACGACACACACACACACACACACACGCGCACACACAAACAGACACACACACACACACACACCAACGCACACACACAAAAACACACACAGACACACACAGACACACACATACACACAGACACAGACACACAGACACACAGACACACAGACACACAGACACACAGACACACAGACACACAGACACACAGACACACAGACACACAGACACACAGACAAACGCACACACAAACGCACAGACACACACACAGACCCAAACAAACACACACACACACAAAACAAAAAAAAAAGACAGACAGACAGCCAGCCAGACAGACAGACACACAAGTTCACGTGCCGCATTTGTTCCATTTGTTCCTCGCCTGCAAGGCCAAGGGTGAGTCGATGTGGCACACCTCGTAGGGGCTGTATCGAAACTCGGAGCCCTTGACTTGGGTGATCTTCCTACTCAGTGCCGAAGACCATTGTCAACATAACCCCCCGTTGCCCGTAGCTGACCTGAGAGACTTGGGAAATTCATTGGGTTGCCCGTAGCCCGAAACCTACGCTGACCAATAGACCCCATTGCTTTTTGATGGACCTCACAAGGTTCCTTACCAAAGCTCCTTGTGAGCAGACAACTTTCAGATCAGGCAGGAGCCTCCTCACGGACCTCTTGCATTGCTCTCACGTATTTTTTGATTAACCTCCTCTGACTACTCTCTCAAATACTTCTGCTAGTACGAACTCCTTTCTCAGGGGGTGCCTCTCCAAAATCGAGCAGCTCAGCTGGGTGGAAACCGCATTTAGCTACAGTTCGTTCAAAGTATATCAATGTTTAACAAGCTCATGAAGGGATTTGAAGGGCGCCCTCCTTGCAACTGACCTGTCTGGGTCAGCTTTCCTTGCGCGAATTGGACAAACCAGTGAACACTTGGCCCGACAAACGTCTGGCCCCCTCAAAAAAAAGTCCGCTTGCTGCCTGCTTAGAGAGAACAACATGAGGGAACACATCTTGTTGCCTTTGTGGAGACGGAGAAAAACCAGGGAACGCATTCCCGAGGATAGAACTCCAAGGCAAGACGCCCTCTCGCCGGTCTGGGGCCCAGTGCAAGGCGCAAAGCGCCCGCCTCAGCCTGCGGACATGGGCTCTCGCCCTCTGAGATTTTCACATGCCCCTTTCGGATCCTGTAAATCCGGCTTCTGGGTGATTCTAGGGGTAGATTCCTCTTCCATTCTCTGCAACCATGGCTCTTTTCAAAAACCGGATCTGTTTCCCCAGGGTTTTGGGTGGTGTGTTAGAAAGAAGGATGCCTGGAAAGAATGGGGAAGGCTCCCCTAGAGTGATTGACATGGGCGCCCCACGAGAATGGATCCGGTGTTCCTTCTGGCTCCCTTTTGAACTAACCTGAACGGTATCGAGCCTCAAAATATCACGCAAGTACATGTGTCTGGTTCCATCCCCACCTTACAGTGTTCGCGATGCTGTTGCATATTTATCCTGAAATAGGTTTAAAGGAGACCCCTGCAAAAGGGAAATCGGCGCGATGTTTGGAGTTCCGCTATTTGGAGACACCCCAAAAATCCCAATCAACATGTGACTTGCTGTTGGTTTCCCTTTGAATCCTTTGAACAAAATCCATTTCGCACCGTTTGAGTTTGATGGAGAAAAAATGGGAGAACCCGCCTACCAACTGATGCCTGGTGTGGGATTTGTCCAACCTCAGTAATGTCAGTTTCTCACATGAGACACAATCTAAACAGGTTCTTGACAGGGTTTTACTACCAACCAACCAACCAACCAACCAACCAACCAACCAACCAACCAACCAACCAACCAACCAGCCAGCCAGCCAGCCAGCCAGCCAGCCAGCCAGCCAGCCAACCAACCAACCAACCAACCCCGACCGGCCGACCGGCCGACCGGCCGACCGGCCGGCCGACCGACCGACCGACAGACCGATCAAAACGGATATCAGCACCTGGACTATCCTTCAGCCTTCACTTCCTCCAAGTTTCACCTTCCGAGGTCCGCGAACCCTGCGATCCGCTCCAATCCACGACGAACCCTTTGGCCCGCGCCGGCGTCTCTGCACAGCTCTGGCGAAAGGCCGCCGCTGCCAGCGCCATAGCCTCGAGTTCAGATGTCAGGTGGGTACTCGGTTGCTGTTTGCTCCCCTGCTAAAAGTTTAACTTTTCGTGGTTTAATGAAAAACCCATTAGTTGGCAAAAAGTTAAAGTCCTAACATCCCTTCAAAATGCACCTCTGAGCATGTAGACCCCCAAAATGCGACCCCTTTGGTTGTCCGTTGAGCCGACCCCAAACAAGGCACCTTCAAATAACCACGCGTCTGGGCCCAAACACCGCCCACCCAGAACAAGCTCATTGCGTGCGGCCCGAAAGGCGCTGAGCGCGCCCAAGGCGAAGTGGGGCCGCACCAGGCAGGTCAGCCTCAGACATTGAACATGCCGGTTCCTGTCAACCACAGATGGTGAGTGGCTTGGTTGTTGTTCAGGGTACTCCTTTGGGGTTGTTCTGAAGGGAAACCAGCCGCCACATTCTCATTTTGCGGACTCCCCAATTTGCCCGACATCCTCACCAAAGCAATCTTGGGCTTCGCCCAAGGTCTTCCCTTGAAGCCAGAAGAAAGCTGGGGTTGATTCGTTCACACAGAAGGCGTAGGGAAAAAAGGGGCGCCATCCAAAGACAGCGCGCTGAGCGCTGGGTCCAGTGCAGTGGGCTCAAAATGACCCGAGTGAACGGTGGTTTTTGAGCGCACCTCGCCCGAAGCAAATTTGAGAACCCGTCAAAACGCTCTTCGGACAATGGAAGAAAGATGGGAGTGGATCCGTTGGTGAATGCCTACGAGTTGGGCCAAGTGAACACTTGGGGGAGGGGGGGCGGTTTGATTTGTTTACCACAGTTCAGTGGAACTCCGATATGGGTATGCTTTCTTTTTGGGTATCTTTTCGGATTGAGTTTTAGAAACCAAAAGGAACCATCCATTGTGGGGGTCAGACGCACCTGTTTCATAGTATGAGAATGTCACTTTGGACCTAAGGTTCAAAGCTGAAAGGGAAACCAAAGCGAAACGCTTGACACACCCGAACAAATCAGAAAAGAAACACTTACGTGGAGTCAGGGCCTGTTGAACATGAGGTGTACTAAAAACAAGGTCATGAAAAAGGGCTTTGGAGTCCAGGCAGTCGAAGGAAGCTCACGTTAAAGGAACCAAGGTGACATTCAAGCAAGGGGGCTTTCTGGGGAATGTGTTTCTGAGGGGATCCTTTTCAGGGTTAGTTTACAAAGAAAAACCATTTCCCCCAAATTGTTGGGCACCAAGCCGCAGATGCCCTGTGGCCATGGAAAAAAGGCATCCTGTTTTGGTTGGGTGAGTTCGAAGGGTTTCCCTTTCCATTAAAAAAAAAAAAAAAAACATGAAAAAGGTTGGCGGAATCCACTGGGCAACTGGTAAGCCTAAGCCCCAAAGTTGGCCCACCCCATGGCTTGCTGGTTCAATAGGCATGAGACATGAATCGACCAGAAACCATTGACCCCAAAAGGACATTGCTCCCGAGACGGAGATCCAATTCAACCCCCTATGGTTGCCTTTATTGGAATCCCCCTTCCGATTCATTCCCACCTGGACTCCTCGTCATTCCCTGAGGGGAAGCTCGCAAGAAACCGCCATCCAACTTCCTGGACAAAGGTCCTCCACCTGCACGAGATGTCCCACGTCTCTCGCGAGCGAGGCCGGCGCAGCGCCGTGAAGAGTCCCCAGGCCAAGCGCAGCGACAGCTGCAGCCTGGGCCGTTGGGCCGTTGGGCCGTTGGGCCGGGCCGACACGGGACCGGGGGAAAACCATCGCCGGGGAATGCGCAAAGGGGACAACACACCCTACGGTTTTCGTTGACCCCTCTGCAAAAAGTGTTTGAGTTTCTTTTTGTGGGTGCAACGGAAAATCCACTGTTTTCTCCAAAAGTTGAAGTCCAAAGATCCAACCAAATAGACACAAAGCTACTGTGGATGGTTGTGAAATCCATTTCGCACCACCCTTAGAAATCCTGGTTTCTGATTTGATTCCCCTGGAAATACCAAGAAACAACTGTTTCAAGCATGGTTTCTTAGGTGCAGGATTCGTCCATCCAATGAACATTTGGAGAAATCCCGTCCACAGCACTTGGCCCACATCTGGAAGAAAATATAGAAGGTGCCAGATTCTGTGTCATATTTAGCCCACACCAAAATACGAACTAGGAGACGAGCCAGGAAAGGCGGCGCAGGAAAATATGTGTTTTTTTCCCGCAAACATTGCATACTTCCAACTTGAAATATAGATAGAAATCTGCATAGCACAAATGATAGTAAGTCATATCGACCTGGACTATTGCAATTCTCCACTTACTTACCTGGGCATGGTTTGTACCAGAGCACATCCCCCTTTGCAATTCCACCAAGCATTGGATCCCTTGGCAAAGGACCGGCATCCCGGATGTTTCCGGCTATCAAAATAAACCGGGGTTCTGCTGAAGCCTGACAGAATCCATCGACACCACTTGAGATGGCAGAACCTGGGGAAATAAGAAAAACATCGACACCACTTGAGATGGCAGAACCTGGAGAAAAAAAATAAAAAGAAAAAACACTTTCCAGCTGGCGCAGAAGTTTGCCCATCCACATGAGCCACAAGCTCCAAATCCTCTTGGACGCCGGGCATGGAGACCACCGCCGCAAAGGGGCAGAGCACCTCAGGCTGACCATGGCCCTCCAGTTTCCCCGAGTCACCGGGTTTCTGCCAAATTTCCTGCCCCCCCCCCCCCCCCCCGCGTGGTGTCCCTGTCCAGCACAAGGCGGTACCCTCAAAGCACGGCAAAAAAAATGAACGTCCCACCCAATCAGTGGATCGCTGGCGCGGCGCCCAAAAAAAGCTCCCCCCTCCTGCGAAGTTGGTCATGAAACCCTCAAAACCCTGAAATCCTACTGCTTCGTTGAGCACTTCTAGTGGGAAATATGGCACATATCCCTCTACAAAAAAAAACAAAGGGCAAATCCACGTTGCACCAGTTGGTATGGATGAAACTCAATGAACAACTGGTGCCCATCGTTGTGGGTTTCGATTTTGTCCATCCGAAAGTGGGTGGGGGGTTGTGTCAACACACAACACACAGGCACACACACACACACACAGCTTCAACCTTATTTAAGACAATTGACAACTCCCCCAACCCCAAATTACAACCCCACCATCGGCCCTTGGTTCCAAGCCATCTCAAGCAGGAAGCCCAGCGCACCATGCTGCCTGCGTGCGGCTACCCCAAGAATGGCGTTGGTTTTCCCGTTGGAAACCCAACTAAGCGACCCAAAGGGTACCGAGCCTCGACAAAAAGACAGATTCAAATGTGTAGACGTGGAGATGTTTCTCGAACTCACCTGTTGTTTGGTTGTTGGAATGTGTGATGTGTTTTTTAGGGTGATGGCAAATTTATAATACTGTCGATTGTTTTACGTTTGAATCTGAAGGAGAGGGGTGACATATGCAATGCGGGGATCTGGTTTCGCGCTTAAATGGCAGCCGCAAATGGACCTCCAAAGGGTGCTGACCAAATCCGCTTGGAGACCCCGGCGGTGCTGCCCACCCCGAGGTTTCGCTCCGCACATATCTTCCACAGAAGCAACGCACTACTTCCACGCCACCCAAACTTTTAAAAAAATAGGAGCAAGTTTGGGTTTGAGGCTGTCAAGAATCTAAGAATCAACTACCTTTAAAGGTCAGCCATATTGGGCTCAAGGTGTCAAAGGGACAACCCTCAGTGTCTCTTCTCCAAGGATATCTCAAGGCTTCCCGTTTCGAAGGGCCCGGTCAAACTTCGTATCCAACATGGGACTTTGGCGAGCAAAGCTCCTCACGTACGATCTTGTCGAAGTCTGCGCCCCCTTTCTACAGCGAATGATGTTGAACAAGTATCGACCCGTTTGCCATATCACCCCCCCCCCCAAAAAAAAGAAGAAGAAGAACACAAAAACACTGAAAAGCTCGAAGCGTCGCCTGCCCAGGCCGCGACGGGACCTGTATTCCTGGCGCAAGGCTTCGTTTGCTCGGGACCCATTTTAACTCACTTGCTGGTGAAGAGCGCCTGTGGGGAAAACCAATGGTAAAACCAAAGCGTAAAAATACCTTACCCGAGTAGGCACGTAGTGGCTGGCGTGGATCCACTGGGTTGGCTGATCCCAAGCAACTAAAAACGCCGGGTGCTAAATCCACGGGCATCGCGATATTCCCCAGGTTTGTCGCCAAAAGGGGGAACACTTGCTTCTCTTAAAGCGGCTTCCCTTTGGTTACCCTTTAAACAGCCCCAAAACCGGTGCCCTTGACACCCAACTGAGCAAGCGGCCGACACATGCCCTGTATGCAGGGCCCTTGGAAGGCCCCCCGTTGGTGAAAGATAGGGGGCAACACATTTCTCTGACTGGACAGTCTCCAAAGGTGACCATATAGGTAACCAAAAAACACCTATGGTATAAAAAACAAGAAAAGCGAAGGGTCGCTTTGAAAGGCGACAAACCGCTGGGAAGGGACTGGCAACAGAGATGGGCCCTACCCCGAGCCGATCCTCCCGGCGGATCGCCCGCACGTCTGTGGGCATCTCATGGCGCGGCCGGGCGCCTGGTGTTCGTGGCTTGCGGGGCTGGTTGGTTGGTTGGAATTCAGCATCAATCCACTCATGGGTTCATGAAAGTCTCAGTCTCAAGGTTACCCAAATGGTGGTTTGAAAGCAATCTTCTTGCCAGAGTCCGTTTTTTAGAGAGAAAACGGGCGTCAGGCACGGTGGTTGTTGAAGCGAATGATTGAAAAGAACCGGGAATGAACCCGAAGGGCTTTGGGGCCCGCAGTGTTGAGGTCCATAAAACTGGTGGCATTTTGAGGGGCCCATTCTCAAAACTTGAGAATGAGACTTTCATGGACCCAGGAGTGGATTGACCCAAGTCCAAACTGGAAGATTGCTTTCCCAGAAACGAGGGCTTTCCTTTGGTAAAAGCAGCCTGGGCCTGGTTGAGCCTACGAAACAAGGGTCTTGTGAGTGGCCAGCAGATAGGGAACCTCAACACGCGATCCGCTAGAGAGAAAACTCCGAATCTTGGAGTTCTGCTTTGCAGGCTTCCCAGGTTCATGTGCCAGAATCGGGGTAGCCCCAAAATGATCGGTTCCCTTTTGGTTGGTTTCGGCAATTTCGGTGGGCGTCCGGCTTCCTTCCAAGGTCTGTCACCCCTGACAGTCAAAAGTAGACCCTGCTTTTCAGCCAAAGGAACCTGCCCTGCAACTTGACAAGGACGCCAGGAAAGGCGATACAACACGCGTGTTGGGTTCCATGTTAAACTGCGGTAGGCTTCCAAAAGATATCTGTGCACTCCCATGATGGTGGTTCTCGAGGGGGCTTGAAATGCAACATCCTTCAGGTACGCGACTATTATGCATGTAAAGACTCCCGCATCGGGTGGTCCTTTTGCCGCCTTTGTGAGAAGAGGAAACACCCAGAATGCTTCGAGGGGGCAGCCAGGCTGCTTGCCACGTGCAAAGGAACCCTTTCCAAAAGATCTGTGCAGATTCCATGCTGGTCCGGGAAAAAACAATCATAACTTTTGGCTGCCACTATGGCATTTCCCAAACAGCAGTAGTCCAACTCAGAGAGTGGGGGAGAATAGTCTAAGGACCCTCCACCTCACCGCTCTGCATATGGTTATGGGACTACTTCATCGCTGAAAACTTGGCCCTACTCAGGGTCGGCCCAAAAAAACATATGTGCAGCATGGGGTTTCATATCTAGACTACCCTAAAACACATAAAATGCCAAACTATATATGGAAAAATACCCTAAATTGGAGCTAGAGCCCACTTTTACACAACCGGTGCAACAAAAGCCGCGGTCGCCTGCCGCCGCCATGGCCGCATTGATGGGCCGATTTGGTCCAACCGCGGGGCGGGGACCGCGCGGGGACCGCCGTGCGAGGAGTCTGGTGTGTCAATTTGTGTGTCTGTGTCTTTTCTTGAGGATACCTTTTGGGGGTTGGTTTAAAGGGAAACCAAAAGGAAACCACACATTTTGGAGGGTTCCCTATTTCACGAGCGGTGGGAAAGATTAACGAGAAATGGGGCTGCGCCGTTTTCTTCGTGGAACCCCAAAGTTAGGAATCAGAAGATAAGTTAAAGGGACACCAAACGCTTCAGACAGCACAATTCACCTCAGTCAAAACAGCAACCGAAATCAGATTTCACGAAGTGTATTTGCGGCAAGACGCCTCTATCCCTGGTTGGGAACCTGCAACTACAAATTCCACTATCTTGCCTTGCTTTTTATAGAACCAAAACTAAAGCTTTGTTGAATACAAATACAGTTGTCTGCCTGAATGGAACAAACCCATGATTTTGGATTCGGCGCATCTGTGTCAGAAGGGGGGTATTGAGCTAATGTCGGTTTAAAGAACCCTGTGCAGTCGCTGAGTTGAAAGCAATGTATCAGTATTCTACCCAGCTATTTGAAACTGGGATCGGCGTGTGGTGTCGCACGAGTAGGTAGATGGTTTGTCAACCAGCGTTCATGGATCCTGACTGGGTGTCTAAATTGGAAATCCCAAAGCAAGTACATCCCTTTGGAATGCCCTTTGAATCCACCCCCAAAATACCCTCAAAGAAGCACTCGCCCAACAGCTGCAGGATGTTGCGCGGATTTAAGCGAAGCCGAGCGGCCTCAAGCTCCCTCTTTGAGCAAATGGCCGTGTCGGGTACCTTTCTCACTTTCAGCAGGACTCTGTTGCAAGCAAGCAAGGTGCGTTGAAACCAAGTTAAGCTCACGGGAACCCAAACCCCTTGCCTTGCTAGGTCCTCCGAAACTTCAAGTGTCTGAGCCTGCCACCTGTGTATCTATACTCAATCGTGGCTGCTATGCGTGTATATATATATATATATATATGTTCCAGGCCGTGAACCCCCCCCCCCCCCCCCCCTGTGGGGTGGTGGTGGGGGTGGTGGGGTGGTGGGGTGGTGGGGTGGTGGGGTGGTGGGGTGGTGGGGTGGTGGGGTGGTGGGGTGGTGGGGTGGTGGGGTGGTGGGGTGGTGGGGTGGTGGGGTGGTGGGGTGGTGGGGGTGGTGGGGTGGCGGGGGTGGTGGGGTGGTGGGGTGGTGGGGTGGTGGGGTGGTGGGGTGGTGGGGTGGTGGGGTGGTGGGGTGGTGGGGTGGTGGGGTGGTGGGGTGGTGGGTGGGGGGGTGGTTGGGTGGTGGTGTGGTTCGGAGTTGGTTTAGGCTTGGTGGGTTGGTTTAGGGTTGGTTCAGGGTTGGTTTGCGGTGGGTTTCGGGTGGGTTTGGTGGTTTAGGGTAGCGAGAGGTGCTGGTCACGGGGTGAAAGGGGGAGTCTGGCACCGAAGCTGCAGAGCTCACACGGTACTGGACAGCATCCCCAGCATTGCCAGCATCATCCCCAAGATGCAGATGATGCAGGGGAGTGGGACCATACCATTGGGGGGAGGGGGGGGGTACGTGGCCCAGGGACTGGTACATAGATATATATATATATATATATATGTATATATATGTATATACACATACTCATTCACATGCCCCAAAAAACTGGGACGACTTGGCACTTGGCTGCGACCCAAACTTGGTGCCCTTTCGGGTTACCAACCCCAGGACTCACGTGTTTTCGGCGCCCGACTCCATTCCCCTTCAACACCGGGGACGCTGCAGGCACCTCAAGAAAATGGCCGCCCGTCCCTTTTTTCTACAACCACAACCACAACCACAACCACAACGACAACGACAACCACAACCACAACGACAACGACAACGACACCGACAACGACAACGACAACGACAACGACACCGACAACGACAACGACAACGACAACGACAGCAAAGGAATCCTCGACGGGCGGTTGTGTTTCTGTTGTGCCCGAAGCCGGACTGCGTTTTTTTCCGGCTGCCAAGGTCAAACCAATGTTCCTCAACAAGCGCCACATGTTCTCGGGCAATCGAACTGACGGGCACAAGTTGTTCTTGCCAAGCAGCGAAATGTCCATCTTCCAACATGTCAACCATTTCTATTTGATTGTTTAAAGGGGAATCCCCAAATTCACACACACACACACATGTTAGGGAACCCTATGCCGAGAGACACTCTGGAAGGTGTTTCTGCGTTTCTCTTCTTCTTGGACCCCTTCAAAGGAAATCTTGGCTTCAACTTCCAGGGCGCTGGCGCGCCTCCAGGTGCTGCTCCAGAAGGCCCAGCACGCAGCCCCGCTCCGCCTGGGTCCCGGGTTTTTCCGGGGGCTGGAGGTCTCCCCCACGCGGACGCGGGCGGGTCGCTTTTTGGGGTTTTCGGTGGGGGAAATTGGTGAGAAAGAGCCTGGCGGGGGCGGGGGGATACTCAGAAGAACCCTGCCAGGCTTTGGGCGCAGCTCAAAGGCTATGCTTTTCAAGGTCACACACATATATCCAGCAGGCACGAGTTTGGGAAGTTGATCTTCCAGGTCTCCCCCAGGTGCTTTCTGATAGAACCAGGGCAATCATATCCCCCAGGTTCTTGATGGAAAAGATCCCCCACCAGGTTCCACAGGCGATGTTTTTTCAGGCCACAGAAAAACCTGGCACCCAGGTCCCTTCCAGAACCCGCAAAGCCGCATAGCAAAGTGGGATCCCCGTAATTCCATGGACGTCTGCTGCTGTGCCTAGGTTGTTGGCAGGCCATGCCTTGGTTTAATGAGCTCAACTTGTGAGAGGGGCCGTTGTTACATGCATGTTCTACAACAAATCCATACCTGAAAGAAAAATCCCCAAGCAAAGGACCCACGTCACGCTCGCTTCACACCCCCGAATGAGTTCAAAGTCAGCCACTGCCAGTGACTTTGACAGGTGCTGGATTGCCCCAAATCACAGGTTGACCTTTGCTCCCAAAACCAACCGGAAGATTGGAGGGTCCCTTCACCCAAACCCCCAAGGAACGTTCGCAAGGCTTGAGAAGCCTTGAGCCCAGATTTGAGGCCCCATTTGAAGCCCCACCAACCAACCAACCAACCAACCAACCAATTACCCCGAAATATTACATTCTAATTCTGTTCTCCCACCCTAGAATCGGTGAACTCCCCCGCCCCCCAAAGAAACAAAAAAAGTGCGTGTGTAAAATAGGGACCCAGCAAATGAAGGGGACCTAGCAAATTCGTGGTACCCAGCAAAAAAATGTTGTGTCCCTTTCAAGCAAGCTGAAAAAGGGTAGCAAGCACACATATCTGGGTGAATCATAATATTTCACCAGCCTGAAATAAGATGGTTGCGGGGCTAATCCCCACATAAACCACCATTTTGGGGTGAGGTTGTGTGAGGTCGTCTGCTAATTCACCCAGACATATACCCTCTGGCAAAAAAAGCATCGAGGAGATCGTCTGAGCCACGGGCCGGCTCCAAAAAGGCCAAAGGCTCGTAGTCCTCCTTGGGAGCGACCACCTCCTGGCCGGCGAGAAAAGCGCCGGACGCTTTTCGCGGGCGGGTGATTTCCAAATGGCAAAGTTGCGGGACATGGAATGCGTCCCAACTTCTTGGTTACCAACTTCAAAGTACAGAAGTAAGAACTTATAAGGAAAAGAAAGAATTAAGCGAACGTCTTGGTGCTTCTTGACAAGTAACCCGGAGGGATAGTTTGAGAGGAAACTTCAGCAACATCTCAAGCGCGGCCAGATCCTGTGGCTTCGTACTGTCAGGGCGCCTCGTGCAGCAGCTCCTTTAGCCCCAAGTTTCCAGTCAGTACAAAGACAAGAGCTTGTATTGGGCCATCTCTGCAGCATTCGGAAGGACCGGCCCAAAAGGCGCCCTTGGAAGGTAGACGTTACCGGCTCACTGCCGGTTGTGGCAGTTCTTTGTCACCTTTTGGATTGATTGGTTCCTCAAAACGCTGATGGGCACAAGTTGTCCCAGGAAGCCAAACAAATTGTGGAAAAAGCGCGAGGTTAGCTGCGACCTGCCAAAAAGCAACCATTGCAGCTTTGCCATTTGGAAGGTGTAACACTCGTTTCGCCACAGACCAAACGGAGACACAGACGCACAAATGGCAAACACACCGAGAACCACACAACACATGAGCGGAGCCAAAGTGGCCAAGCCTAAGAACTAAAGGCCATGGAAACGGAATCGGCCAAGGTGAGTGAACCAAGGAGTCACAGCCCAAAACCCCATGAAGAATCAAAAAGATTCCGCGGGCGGGCGTGGTCTCTAACCTGTGCTGGAACCGATGGGCTGCTTCCACCGTGTTGGGAAACGAGGCGGAGGGTAGAAACTTGGCGAAGATATCGTGGGGCACGGACACATCTCCCCCCGCCCTCGCGGTTTTCTGTCAGAGCCTTCTTTGCGAAGACAGCTCCTCAGTACCGGGCTCAGGATCAAAAAGCGAGGGGGGTGATGTGCTCCCCAAACAATATCCCAAAAAGGTCGCTGCTATTCCTCGGATGGTTCCATGTCAATTTGCAGAGTATCCCCACCCTGCGTATCGCAGAAACGCGGGCACCCCCGTCCTCCCTCCAAACATGACGTCCTTTGTACCCACAAAGGGGGAAGGGAAAAAACATGTGGGCGCCCACCCATACATTCCTCGGTTGCTTTCTGCTCCCCTGCTAAAAGTTTAACTTTTATTGGTTTAATGGAAAACCCATTAGTCGGCAAAAAGTTAAAGTTCTAACATCCAAGCAATATGCACCAAAGATTATGTGGCCATTTTGTGGCGAAGTTCCTATGAGTTTATTGCAGCCTTGGTAATTGAAAAACTATCAGGAAAACGCAGCCAGCCCTCAACAAAGGAAACACACACAGACATAAACACATGCATATTATGTCATATAATAGATATGTGACACACGTACCCACACACACACACGCGTACCCACACACACATACACACCCACA